TGTCCTAGTAGTGTGGGGACTGTGGGTGAAGCGAGCCCAGAATGCTGCGTCGCATAGCAGATTACATTCAAGAGGCCACAAGCCACTGCATGCTAGGCTGNNCCCCCCCCCCCCCGCCCCGCCGCTGTGCCTTCTAGCCGTTCTAGCCCTACGAACCTCAGAAGCACATGCGCCCACTGCGCAAATAGCAGCATGATGACAGCGCAAGACGGCCACCAAGAAGGACATGATCCAAAACAGTACTGCTACCACCAACACCACAACCGCTGCCACCACCGCCGCCGCCTTGCGACAGCTTCTCTTCAGGCTGAGGTGGCGCTGCTGGGTGTGCTGGGAGAAGCTCAGTCCAAGAGCGCTAAGCCAAGGCCTGACGTGGGTTTCTGCATGCTCCCTGGTGTCCCAGCATGGCTATGTGGCAGAAGTTGTCTGTATGGGAAGCACTGAAATTTTGTGCTATGTGGCCGTGTAATGCCGCAGAATGTGTAAGGTGTTTTGAAAATAGGCTGCGGTTGCAGCTCCAGCGAGGACAGTCCGCTCAGAGGTTCAGGGTTTGGACTGGGTTTGAGCTTCACTGCTGACGTGTTTGCAGTTGTGCCATTTAGGCCATTTAGGCTCAGAGATTGGGCGCGCTGTCTGAGACTTGAGATAAGCCCACCCTCCCCAATGCTTAAGCACCACCACGCTTATGCCCATGTTGAAAAGAAAAGATCAAAGCCTGTCCCAAGAACCGTGAGCCTTTACTTGATCGACTGAGTCTTAAACTACTTCTTGAAGCGCAATTTGACTCCTAATGATCCCGCAAGGCCAGGCCAGCCCGCAGCCCCTGCTGAAGCTGGCAATCCGACCACGGACCTCCGCCTGCGCAGCTTGGTAGCAGTCTGCCTGGAGCCCTACAAGGTGAAGGGTATAGGGTTTAGGGTTNNCTAAATATTAGGTGCCGTAAAATAACCTACAACCAACAGAGGCCCATAATTTTGAGAACACACCTGATACTGCACTACCGCTTTGTGCGATATGTCACGGAGTTTTCCTTTGTACCCGAAGGTTTGTACCTGTTTGTACCCTTTGGTTTGGGTCTCTAAACCATGGAATATGGCCCTCAATAGGGGTATCTGGGACCCAAAACCTCGGGTTACAAACATTAAGGGTACAAACTGAAAGTCTTTGAATTTGCACCTCTCTGATAGGACTGGGGTCAGGATGGGCTAGGGCGGTCAGGGCTCCAGTGTAGGGACCTTTGGACGTTGTCCTTTGTAATTACCATTAGGGTGGTGCCCTTGGGATTGGATCCTTCCAAAACGGAATGCAGCCCACAGTTAGGTGGACCCAAAACCCGACATTACACGCCTGAAGGGCACAAACGTAAAGTCCTTGAGGGACTCTGGGGAGGAGCTGCGGTAATCTCATACCAGGAGGAGAACGTTCTCGGCGCCATCTTGTGAACCCTGCCAACTTTTTTTGCGGCAAGAGGCATCAGAACATTCCCAGGCTGAATGACTGGACACCATGTTACTTTGAAGCCTCTCAAAAGTGATAGCTGTCAGCCTTCATTCCGCTCCGCCATCCGAAAGCCTGAGGCGAAGCAAAGCGACTGGAGGCCGGAAGCCTTCTTGCGGGGTGGTCGCGTGCTAGTACTGCATGTCCGGGGTTTAGCTGGAAGGGTTTAGGATGTAGGGTTGCAGTGTGAAGGATTTGTGGTTGAATGTCAAAGGTTCAGGAGAGGTGTCCTATTTCCTGTTTTGATTGTATCAAAAGTTGGCTAAGCCTTATGGCTGAGGGACGAGTACTGTGAGTACCAAGTGCCGCCACACAAATGGATGGTTGTCAAAATTATGGTCCCCTTTCGGTTCCCTATTATAATACGGCAACTAATATTTAGGGTACCCAAAAAGGGACCATAATTTTGACAACCACCCAAATGAGAATCCCCTTCATGACCAGCCGTCCCCGCAAGCTGCTCGCACTCTCTCCTCAGTTTCCTTGTTTCCCTCCATATCCATAGCAAAGCCCATGGCCAGAAGACCGTGTGACCTCAGATCCAAATAGAAGCCGGTCGTAATGGGATTCCCCTTTTTTGCCACAAAATCGTGGGATCCCTATTATATGGACCTTTCTAAAGGAACCCATACCTTTGAAAATTATTGCAGGGACCGCGAGAAGGGACCCGTAATTTTTCAAACTACAGGTGGGACCCCGCCAAAAGATACCCGTGATTCTGAGAATTGCGCGGCCCAGTATATAGGCGCCCCACCACGCCATATACTCTCGAAACTCCTTGGGACTTAGCTTGGACCTTGGCCTCAGACCCTTAACCCTTTGGGAGTCCCTTGGACTCCTATTGTAGGTACCTAAGGGTTAATCCTTAGTAGGGGTCCTAAGTGCCACGTAGTAAATTGAGAAATATCCAAATAACCCTAAACCCCACACCCTATTATAATGTAGTAGTTTTCCATTTTCTTTTCCATCCATATATATATATATATCTACACTATACACCGTTTTTGTGACTTCAGGCCCTCAGCCGCCGCTTGGACCAGCGAAGGGCCCAAACTCGGCGAGTGCAGCTGCAACTTGGCATCTATCATGCCAAATGATCCTTGAAGGGGTGCATAATGGGGCCTATTTTGGGGGATACTAGGAATTCAGACTGTGGCTCAAATAACTCACAGGGTTACCGAGTTTAGGGTTTGTAGGGTCCTGCAGGAGTTTGTCCATCAACCGCGGGGTTGAGGTTGTAGGGTTTTGGGTTATGGTGTCGTTAAAAGTTACATGGTTGGGAAGTTTATGACGCATGGTGATCACTTGGCAAGTTAGCAACGTTTCTCAGGGAGACAAGAACCGTTCAGAGCTTTGAAATTTCTAGGTTTTGTGCGGGGCGGGGGGGGCGGGGGAGGTTCGGCTCTTGAGCTTCAGGAAGTTCACCCAAGGCAGGAACTCTGTCTAAGGACTGAAAGTTAGGGACCCACCTTGGAAATGCCCGCCTGCCCCCCAGTGGCCTTCCAGAAGAGGCTGTGAACATGCGCGATGTTCCTTTCCACCGGATGCTCCAGTGATGGGGCGGATCTATCTTGCAATGAGCTGCTTATAAGGGGTGGAAGTCCGGGCCCGTCAGTGCAGACCAGAGCATAAGTGCTGGCAAGTTAACTGCTAACCATAATATCGGGCTATGCCTTAAGGATCGCCAAAAAAGGACAAACCTGCTTGTTGACTGGGGCCCTGCTGTTGTAGAAAGAGTTTTTAAGTGGGCTGACACCTGAGTTTCTCGACCTTGCGGATCCCAGTTGCCCCACTTGAGAAACAGTTTTTGTAGTACTGAGTGAAGGAGGGGACCCTAATTTCGAGGAACTCCTACACTTGCCTTTTGGGGCGGGGACATGTTCAGGCAGTCTCCAGTTTTTCAACCCATGCTTTGTGAGCGCCACGAAGTGGTCCAGCCTTGTACACACGACCTCTTCAGGACTGCGCATCCAAAGATACGACTCGAGAATATCACGTCAGTAACTTGCCTATGAGCCGCACAATGCTGAAAAGTTCGAATAAGACTGAATCAAACGACCCTAAGTACCAAGCCAGTGCTGAAGTCTGCTAATGCATCCGTAGCGAGTGTCTATCAAGATACTTGTCTGACGTGCAGAGCACACGGCGCTGCGATAACGCCCTGGCATGGCTCTTGGCATTATACCCCTCATGTTCGAAGGAGCTATCCAGAGGTTGTGGGTTTATGATCTTTCAAAGTTTGGACACCCGTTCCTCTGGTTTTGAGGGAAGCTGTCAATAGCCATGCGCAAGACCTGAGTTAAAGCCAGAAAAAAGATCAAGATCAACGCGCGCCCTCCAGACAACCCGGGCCACAAGGCGCCCCAGATGTGATTCCATACCTGCAGGGGCCACGTAGTTATTCGGACATCAGTTACCTGGAGATCGACAAAACAAAACCTAAAAACACATTAAGGGTTATTACTTTGCTCTTTGTATAGAGGCATTGTTTTGTTTGTGTTTCGATCCACAAAGAGGCCACCCACCTTCTTTTGCAACACTCCAGCTGTATCCAGCAGTGACGCAGTTGAGCATAACTATGCGCCACCAAAGAATCATCACAACAAGAGCGGTAGTTGGGAATTTTCTCACCATAGCATCCTTATTCACCAACGCCAAGTAGGCAAGTACTAGGCGCCAGAACCATGTTGACAATAACGATGCTTCTTTCCTGGGAGTTGCCAAAGATTGAAGCTCCCGTTTTGGTGGTCCTCAGAATTAGGATTATGATATGTTAGGGACGCGATAAGACGGGACGGACCCATGTAGGAGAAGGGGGTTAATGTAGCAGCCTGAAGTTGCCAATGGCCTCCTGCCGTTGTAAGCGCTAGATAACCAAAGTACAACGTACTCCAAAACGATTCTTATTGTCTAGACCTCTACATTACAAAAACTGCACACCCTCAATTGCTTAGGCCCCTACGCCCAAAACCATGTCGAATTTCTATCACCTTATATAATGTATATAGTCCCTAAAACCCCGTTTGAACGGACTGTCTATACCGAACCTCAAGCTTTTAGGCCCCTACATCAGTCAACCAGTCCGAGGTTAATTGATGCGCCTCCAACATCCCGAACTCCATGAGCCCTACTAGTAGGTTTTCAGTATTTAGTAATTGGTTTCAATGTTTAGGGCTATAATTTATCAATCGCCAGGTTCGTATAGGATGTATGTAGTTGCCCCTAGAGTTGTTGGATAGTGGCACAGCTTATATAGGTGTTCAATTGCAACTCAAGCCCAAGTATAGGTCCGCAAAGCACAGCTAGCAAGGATACAGTTGGGTTGTCCTTGTACATACACAACCAAACCCTAACACCGTGTGCGTGGGTACTACGCACCGTGAACCTTCAAACCATCCACTGGCTCAAGCCCTCCCTCGTGACAGGGAAGGTGGCCTTTAGGCTTTAGGGTTTTATCTGCCAGCTGTTGGGGACAAGAGAAGCCAGCCAACCAGTGCGCAGCAATGCCTGGAGCTTTCGGCTTGATTCTGTGGGTGTCTGCTCTTGCTGCTCATGCCTCGGCGCATGAAGCCGTGACAGGGTTCGCTTGGGAATAATGGAAAAGAAAATGGAAATTAACTACTATATTATATGGGGATTATATAGGGGTTGTGTAGGGATAATTGGGAATTAGGTTTTGATGCTAGGTGATTTTCCTGCTTCTGCTTGAGGCGGATAGTCAGACCAACCTGGCAGAATTTTTTCAGTGCATCCTTATCATCTACCTGAAGCCTCAAAATCCTGGACGCACCCTAAACCCTAAAACCGAAACCCCTAAACCCTAAACCTCTAAACCCCTAAACCCTAAACCCACATCCCAGCCCAGGTGAAGCTGAGCTGGCAGGACTGCGGGCTACTTGCAGATGAGAAAGGCATTGAGCTGCTGGATTACACGCACCTGGGCACGAGTTGGAGGGCTTAGGGTTTACTTGTTTGCTCTTAAGGAACTCAAATTAAGTTACCATCATGGGTATACATAGTAAGTAATAGGGTTTCCTCAAGATGTCACTTCAATTAAGTTCCTAAACCGCAGCCCAGTTTAGGATCCTTAAGACGGAAACTTCGTTGTCCGGACCACAGTTGCTTCTGAGGTTGGCAACCCGAAGATGCAACTGCCATAGGGTTTAGGGTTTAGGATTTAGGGTTTAGGGTGGTTTGCCATGGGAGCATGGCCAGCTACCAGAAATGGCGAACATCAGTTTAACAGACAAACGTCTCAAAACACCACATGGAAGTTTCTAAGAAGGTCCCTTGCTCTTTCAGGGTCTCTTCATATGGATCCTACTGTTTTCTGGCATCATACTGTGAGATGGACCCATGTTTTGGCACAGCGCCACCTCAGGGCTTCAGTGCCAACCTCTAAACTCTAAACCCCTAAAGCCTAAACCCCTAGTCCTGAAACCCTGAAACCTTAAACCCCTAACCCTGAACCAACCCAGGCACGAGCCCGACCCGATAGTGCTCGGCGAGCCGTATGTGATCACAAGACGTTTCCGCTCGCTGCGGCTAGGTTTGGGGTTTAAGAGTCGTCAAATAGATGGAGGTTTCGGGGTGCCCATGCTGAAAAGGGTGGGCCTCAATAATTTAAAGTTTTTCAGGGTTTGGGACTCAAAGCGCGGGGCTACGAGGCATAGGCTTCAGGGTTTTGTCCAGTGAGCCCAGAAAGAGATCGCTCGGAGCGACAGTAATCAACAAAGAGCTTAAATCCAAGTTCCATGTTGGTTTGCAGGATGGTAACTAGGTCTTAAGAACTTGGAAAGTTAGCGGGACGTAGTAGGTAGGCTGAAAAAAACAAATAATCCAAAAAGATATCCTGGTGATTAAATAACCTACTTCCTAAGTCCACCTGACCCTATAAACCCTAAACCCTCAACCCTAAATACTATGTAGGTATTACTGTATCATATTTCAATTTCCATTATCCTTTCCATGATTGCGAGGTCCTCCTGAAACCCCCAGTAGGTTCCGGGATCTCAAGCCGCAGGCCGAGAGGTGTAGAGGGGCTCCCTGATGCTTTGCTTAGGGCTTAGGGGTTCAGGTTTAGGGGCTAACAGGTTTAGGGGGTTGAGAGGTCTAGGGGTGTAGAGGTTTTGGGGGTTAGGGTTTGGGGGTTTAGGGTTTAGGGGGTTAACATAGGGTGAGGTTTTTACTGAGTTTGGCTGTGGTTCGAGATCCTGACTCTAGGCACTCAACATATGGGGTTGTTCAGTCCAGCTTTTGTGAATTTAAACCAAGCTATTGCTTTTTCAGCTGACAAACACTTTGCCATGGGTGAGCATAGGCTGGACCGTCCAATCCAGAATCTCACAGAGACGTTCCAGTCCTACAACCGAACAGCGCCGCCTTGGCTTTGCCGGGTAGAAGTTTGGGGTTTCCAAAAATCGAGTTTATCCTTATATTCACCCAAGATACTGTAGTCCCCATGCCGGCCAGAAAGGCATAGAATTCGAGGCCTGACATGCAAGTAGCAAATTACCAAAAAATTGTGTTGGTGTACCTGCTGAGCCCCGTCACGTGTAAGCAGTTGTGTCCCCACTGACAAAGCCATCAAGACAGTTCCTCCTGGAGTGGGACGGGGGAGGAAATCCGGTTGATGTTAAAACTCCTGCATGATCTTAGTGCAATACAATACCATGAATTCAATGTACAGGATAATGTAGACCCATTATTAATAAATCCCGTCCTTTTAAGGACCTTAACATTAGGATCCCTATTATAACCCCAATTAAGGGGAGCGGCTTTATTACTCAGGAGTCTGGGATACCTAGGGTCCTGTAGGATTTCTTGCCCCAAAAAGGTACCTTAAACCCTAAATGATGGAATGCTAGACTTTAAAGGGTAGGCCTTCCTGGCGCCTCCCGTGTGCGAGAGGCGGTGCTGTCGCTTCAGAACGTGTTACATAGAGGTTATATAGGGATAATGGAAAAGAAAATGCAAACTACAGGGATTATAGGGGTTATAAATGGGGTTATATAGGGCGTATTTGGGTTACATAAGGAAAATGGAAAAGAAAATGGGTTTAGGGATCGAGGGGCGCTGTACAATTCCCCACCATAAAAGTTTTCCAAGGATCCCAAAGGTTCCCTAAGAGGGAATTCGGGAAGCTGATACGACTCTCCATGCACCCTTCCCAGGGTCTCTGAGAGCACACCCATTGTGATAAACTCCCATCGCGTTATTGGTTGTTAGCCGGGAAGGGTTTAGGGTTTAGGGCCTATAGTCCCCCTAAAGTAGATATGGGTTATATGGGGATCTTATTATAATATACCCAAAGCCATATTCTATCTACTCAAGGGGGAAGGGTGGATTTAGGGTTTAGGGTCTAGGGTTATATTAGCCGGTATATACTTGCCAATTGTACAGGGCTTGTCTTTTTTGTCCGTTCCTTTAATCCCTACTAAAAACCAGTAAGCCCACTCAACACGAAGCCTCATCTATCCTATAAACCACAGTTACCATTTCGATTTCGATTTACTTTCCGATTTGATTCTTCACTACAACCCTATAAACTGTACCAGCAGCCCCTACCCTAATCCCTAAACCCTCCAGCCTAAAATTCTAAACCCCCAACCGTAAACCCCCAAATCCTAAACCCCAACCTTAAATCCTAAATCTTAAGCTCCCAACCTCACCTTAACCCTAAATCCTAACCCCTCCCAACCTTAAATCCTAAATCCTAAGCTCCACACCTCACCTTAACCCTAAATTATAACCCCAATATAACCCCCATTATAACCCTATATACTATAGTAGCTNNTATTTTCCATTATCCCAATATATTTAGGGTGTAGGCCCAAAACCAAAAGTCCTAAACCCTAAACCCTAAACCCTAAATACCCCCAAAAGCCGCCAAAAATGGGTCCAGGCCAGCAACCTGGACACCAACCTTTGCCGGCGGCCCTTTCTCGCGCTGCGGCCGGGAGCAATACCAGACCAGGTGCAGGAATCATGTGCCCCATTTTGTATACACATATATATATACACAGATAGACATGATGTTAGGGTCTAGGGTTTGAGGATGATGTATCAATAGGGTTTTGGGCCCCATTTTGTATATGGCTTAGGGTTAAGGGTTAAGGGTTGTGGTATGAATAGGGTTTAAGGATATCATCTTGCATATATATATATACACATGATGTTAGTGTCTAGGGTTTAGGGATGATGTATCAATAGGGTTTGGGGTTATCCCAAGCACAAGACAGGGACCACAAGTATCGTGCAGATGGGAGTTCCTAAAAATCAAACACCCCTGGGTCTATATCGGGACACTCAATTCACAGAAACTACCGTATTTCTGAGGTGTGGGGCTTCTGAAAATGGAGGTACATTGCCAGGGAATGATGCATGGGGTTACAAGGGGGTTATGGGGGGTCCTTATTGAGGCCTCTGTACTTCTATACGTGTAACGCCGCTAGTTGGGGATTGTATACCGATTACAGTCCTGGTTGTGTGGTGGATTTGAGGGATTATACAGGGACTACTCTAGGGGATGATTCTGGGCTTTGGTTATCGTTTCTGTTAGTTGCACAGAGGGTTGCTTAGGAATCTTGCTGACTATAAATTTTGGGCGTCCAACGGGGAATATCTATAATGCCTATACGCATCTTTTTCAGGGAGTGGTTCAATATGTTAGGAGTGTGGCTGCGTTGCATACTTGGGGTGGGAGTAGTCTAGGCTCAGGAATAGTGCAGACAATCTGGACGGAGGCCCTGCTGCGAACAGACATAGAATCTCCGCTTGCAGGGGAAGGCGTATGTGTTAGCTCAGGGAGGGACAGCACGGAGAGAATTCTTGGGCAGTAAGGGTAGCTGGAGGCTGGTTCCACAATCCCTGAAAGGTGCCCATTGCAGCCGAAGGAGGAGTTTGCCTGCCACGAGCACCACCCAGCCACGCACGTGACAGGGGCCGGAACGCACAGGGCCGTGGAGCACTACTTTGCGGACGGCACGTTTGTAGGCTGCGCGGTGGTAGTCTACCAGTACACCGCACCAGATCCGATTCTTACTTTGCTGTAGTGGCTGTATTGAGAGGGAGTGGCAACTTCGTGCAGTACACACACGATTTGTAAATATTCCTGAATCATGAAGTCTTGATTCAAGTCTTCGTCGACCTGGTTCAAGCCTCCGACGACGAATTCCAGTAGTAGGTTGAAGCGGCGCACGCACTCGGCATGTTTGAAATACGAAGAATCTGCAACAGAGCTGTTTTGTACAAGCTGGCCGGGCTTCTCGATGTACATGGACTGATTTTTCCTGAGCTCTCTCTCACTCACTCACTCACTCACTCTCTCTCTCTCTCTCTCTTTCTCTGTGTACTCAAGCACATATAGATAGACATGTCCTACCCAATATTTTGCAAAACAACAATCCAGTGAGGAGAACTGTTATGCTTGCTTCATGGTGGACATCTGTCCCAAGAAATGGGGTTCCTCGCAGAGTAGAGCCCTTTTGGACCCGAGGGATGCACTTGCAGACCGCTTTTGTGGCATCCCGCGGCAAACACCAGATGGCAAGCCTACTGTGACGAGTAGCGCCATCCCCAACTTTGACAAATATCCATGCCAGGGAACCGTAATCATTTCTTTGGAGCACACGGCGAGTCTCCTATGCCAATCACCAGAAACGGTAGCACGTAGACTGGTGCGTGACCCCAAGACCTATACGCGACCCACCTAAACCACAGGTGGCCCTGCACACAGTGAGCACCCGCAAGCTCAAAACTCCCTAGATGCAGTACACTGCAGCGATGCCCTCAGCCGTAAGTAGCAGTGTCCATTTCATATTCCGTTACCTTGTCCATTTGCTTCTGCATTCTTCCTACATATCCTTGCGCGATTAGAGTTTTCCTCTTAAAGGGTTCAGACACAGCACTCTGCTTGAATGCTTCCACTGCCGTTCCTGACATCAAAACAGCACCGCTAAAGTGGTGAACATGCTGTCATGCCTATCATCCTGGGGCGGGCACGACTAGAGTACCTGGACCTAGACCCTCCTAGACCTTCCACTATACCATGACCTATACCTTAAAACCCCCACAATTAGAGTACCTAGACTCTAGACCCTCCTTCACCTTCACAGTATACCCTAAAATCCCGACTGTTAGGGACCATCTACCCCTACTTGCGGGCACAAGAGCGCTCCCAAACCTTCAGTCCTAGACCCTAAATAGTACTTCCATTTTTCCAGTGGTTGTCCATTATTCCTACATGTTGTCCCCCTTAAGTAGATAGAATATGGCTTTGGGTATATTATTACTAGTATTATTATAAGACTCCCATATGCCCCATATTCTATCTACTTAAGGGGGACTATAACCCTATGCCATAGAGTGTAGAGGAGCCCGTGCTTCGAAGTGCCACCTTAACTCCTGCGCTACCAAGAGGTTTCGGATTTAGGGTCTAGCCAAAAAATGAGAACGAATCTTTGTAGCGCCTATCATGTCCTGCTATGCATACATCTGACAGGTTTTCAGGGGGCTTGAGCTGGACTGGATTTTTGGGGACGTGAACTACCAAGTTTACGGTCCTAGGTTGCTTGCCCAAATATAGTATAGGTTACTTGAAATAGACTTCAAAACTCTATGGGTAATAATTTGGGGCCCGACACCTCGTAATCCCTACCATCTCCTGTGTAAAGCAAGTTTCCACAGTACTTTCCACTTTTCATGGCCTTTAGATTCTCCATCAGCTGGGTAGATTTTTAAACCCTAAACCCCAGACCCTAAATCCTAAACCCTAGACCCTGAACCCTAAACCACTAGGCCCGAGGGGGACGGTACGTCAGCTTTTCAGCCCCCGCATTGCTTCGTCGCGTGCCTCCATCACGCCATGGCGAAGACCCCGGAGGGCGAACGCAGGCCCCAACCTGGGCCATGGAGTGTTTAAACGGGATTAGCAGGGGGGATATAGGGGCTATATAGGGATTCTATAAGGGTTATATAGGGTTTAGGGATTTTATAGGGGGCTTAATGTAGACCTCTGATGAATACACCCCCTCCCTTCAAGGGCCTTAAGATTGGGATCCCTATAATAATCCGTATTAAGGGGAGGGGGGTTATTAAACAGGGGTCTACGTGACTGGTGCTAAAGGGGGAGTGATACGGTGGATACTAAAAATCCTGCATGACCCAAAGTACCTTATACCTTGGGGATTATAGTACTATAGTATATTAAGGTCATGCAGGATTTTTGCTATCAACAGTACGGATTATTGTAGCGGGCTTACTCAGGGCTTATTCGAGGGAGGAGGACCCCCCCCAGCCTGCAATAGTGGTATAGTAGGAAGAGAAGAGGACTCTAAAGTTACCCTTATTATCCGTTATAGTCGCTATTACAGGGTGGGCGTTGCTAATAAACTAAATCCCAAACCCAAATAGTAGCTTCCATTTTCTTTTCCATTATCCTTAAATATCCCCACATATCCCTATATAGGTAATAACCCTAAACCCTAAACCTAAAGTATGGGATGTTTGTGAAGCTGCTGGCTCTTGTTCTTCGCAAGATCTGTAGCTCCGAACTGTCGGACCTGTCTCCAAAGTAAGCCTAGGCATGGCATCAAGTTTAAGTCTATGGTTAAAGGCTAAGGGTTTCGGGTCTAGAATTTAGGGTTTATAGTCCCCCTTAATTAGATAGAATATGGCTTTGGGTATATTATTACCCCATGTTCTATCTACTTAAGCTGGACTATCGGGTTTAGGGAACGTTTCGCATCGTTTGGAATTGAGCAGGGAAGCCTTAAAACATACTCTTTAAGGGCCTCAAGCACATTAGTCTCTACCTGAACCCCAAAAGTATGTAGAATAACATCTCCTTAGGCTATTTTTAGTGGTTTTGGGCTATTATTACACTTTTGGAGCCAAGATGCCAGACAGATCTTCATCCTTGTTTTGCCCTTTCCCTAGACATGCCCCCCCACCGTCCTCAAAATAGATCTGCCCCCTTGTTCCTAGACCCTAAACCTTTAAGGGGAAGTGATGAACCACAAAACCCAAACCCTGCGGGCAGACCCAGCATCTCGAGCCAGCCGCTGAACACAGCAACTTGGCTTCCATTGCCAATTGGAAAGCGAGTCCCCCAAACTAAGAGATGGAAGCTCATAGGGGGTGGTTTTCACGCTTGGCATGCGCCTCGACGGTCGAGCGATACATAATAGGGAACATGTTTGGCGGACACGTTGGCGCGGACATCAAGCGTAATTACACTGTATGCCAGTTCTCTGGCTAGCGACCTTGCTGTTTCTCTGATGTCCTTGCCAGCTTTCTGCATGTTCGTTCGGGGGCCTGAGTATCAATCTTCAAGCCTTTGAACAGAGCATGTATGATCTATCTTGGGAGTGGACTACGGCACGGGGCTTTCACTTCTGCCTGCACCGTACTTACCTAGAACATGAGAGTACGTCCTGCGGTCATATTTGACTTGGTCTTACAATATCTGGACGCAAGTAGGCGCTGTTACTAAGAAGTAGGCATACGCAAGTGCTCTGAACCCTCAAATGCTTTCAGGCATTCAAATTCAAGATCTTGTGCTATCATTTGGGACTTTGCAACCGCTGTGTCTTCATGAACAAGCAGTTAAAGAGCTTCAGCCCACGCAAGCATACATTCTACTCAGGGACTCGGGGCCTGTTCAGAGCATTGTTTAACAAGCGATCAACTTGTGGCCAATCGGCTTGCATGCCTAAACCTTGTAGAGCCAGGCTAGAGTGACGAATCCCTAAACTTACTCATGCTTATCAGGTGTCACATTGGCCGGCCATGTAAGCAGGAGTAAGTAGAATCCAGAGCAGCAACCAGGAGAGGAGGGCATCCGCGCGACTGCAGCTTGACTGCGCTCTGAGCCTGATGTAGATATTCTCGGTCCTATGCACGGTCGGAAAAGGGCTGCCAGCTACCGTTACATTTTAAAACCCATGAGGAACAGACAAACTCCTGGGACTTCAGGATTTTTGATTCTGAAGTGAATGCAATATTGCAAACGATACATCTTTTCCTGTGGTACAGCCTGTTCAAGGTACGCCCCATGACCTGCAAGCTTAAGAATGACTTCAGCGGTCAAGAGACTATGTACGAGGGCAAGTTGGGGTTTAGGGACTCTCTTTCCACTGTGCATTGGCGGGCATGTCATGTGCTCAGGCAAGTGGTACTGAAGCAGTCTTCTGATCGAGGTCCTGTATAGTTTTCTACTAGTTACTTGTGAGGCAGTTGGCATGGGCCCTAAACCCTAAACCCTAAACCTTAAACCCTAAACCCTTAGCTGTAGTGTTAGTTCAGCTTAGTGTAGCGAAGTGCCGACCTGAACGTTTGTAGCCGTGCTTGCAGCGTGCCATGCCCGTGTCTAAACCTGAACCCTAAATCCTAAACCTTTGCTGAAAAAGCGAGCCTAGTCTTGCAATCCCCTAAGTCAGCCCATCAGCCATTCAACTCTGAATCCTACCCGCGACGCCGAGGAACATGAATCTGAGCGATCTGAAGGGAGGGGCGAAGACGGATCCGTTTCTGGCATTGGATCGGCTCAGAACCGAATTCCAGGCGGCTTTGTTCTGGCCTTTGGCTAGCTAGGAATGAAGGAATGGATCATTATAGTGGTCTCTATATAACCCGATATAGTAGTTTCCATTTTCTTTTCCATTCCTTCACATTCTCAGCCAACAAAAGGCCAGTTTTTGGTTGGGGCTGGCTAGAGGGTCTGGGGTTTATGGCTTTCGGGTGTTGCGGCTGTAGGGTGTGTAGGGTGTAGGAGTACATGTTCGCTTCTCGTTGTGGGTTTCGTCGGAGGTTTAAGGCGCTGAGCCGCATAGCCATTCTGTATGCCTTGGGAAGTCGGCTTTAGCCCTCAGGGTTTGGGATAGGGTTTAGGCCTTTCTTGCACCACCTTTGCTGCCATAGGCCCCAAAGCCCGGCACCTTTGATTTCCTTACTTTCTACTTCGGCCAGGCGAGTGTTGAAACCTCCTGAAACTGGAATCCTAGAAGCCTAGCCCCCCAAGCCATGAATTTCGTTGATCATCTTACTATTGTTA